TGGACGACAGCTTGTTATGCAATTCAATATTTCGATGTAAATTTCGATGTAAATTTTTTCGAATTTATTCATTTGATTTATATTTGACAATCATAATCATTCTCTTTAAATTAAAATAAAAAAATTTCATCCTTTCGACGAACGAGTAGGGATACATTTATGATACATTTTTTTTTTCAAAATTTATCGTCTTCCTGTAAAAAATATGCTCTTGGATTCAAGAACAGGATAATATCTCTGTGAGAAAAAAAATAAAGATACCGCTATCGCGTATGTGTAATAAAACGAGAGAGAAATTGTGTATTTTACAAAATAAAAGTATACTTATCGTACCTATAATTCATCATCGTCATCGTTCAATCTAACGCGACTGATTATACGATCGTGAAAATAAAAACTGTCAACCAAGCGCGACCGTCTAGGCTGATGTTTGAAAAATAATAGTCGATCATTTTTTTCCTTCTTTATGCATTTTATCTTTCAACAGGAACAAAATTAGTACTTCTTGTTTAAGAAAATTATTACCGAGACGATTATTTTTTCACTTTTTATTTTTTTTATTTATTCGTTATAATTTATCAATCTGTCGGGATGTTATTCCTGTTATTCTTGTTGAATCTTATTCAAAATCGTCTTTTTTATTGTTTGTAACGCGAAATGAAGTTTTAAATTAAAAATTGCTGAACTTATTTTCTAAAAAAAGATTTGTCGTCTGAAATAAATATTTACCAAATCTTTCTAATTATAATTAAGTTTTAATACATTTGACGATGAATGGTTCAAACGATTGGCGATAGATGTCTGATTAACTTCTATTTTCTCGCAAGTAATTTTTTCTATCTTAACTTTTATATAAAGAAATTTCAAATACAAATATTTTTATTTCGTGTTTACGAACAGGGATTTAAGAATCTCTAAAATGAAAAATAGCGTTATAATTTTTGAAACTTGTAGAAAGTCTCAGATCAAAATTAAGATACTAAGAATCAAAATAATTCTGTCAGAGAAAGAAAATACGAGCCGTTTGTACGAGTGAAAATGTTTGTTTTTTTTCCGTCGCTCCTCCGAGATTAAAAATTGTTATCCACTCTTCTGTCTAAACGTCTAGAAATTTGAGAATGTAACATCATCATCGTAAAATATTCGTGATCGTTTATACAACCGAAGAAGACTTTTCTGAAAAAATAATCATTTCACCAGTTGCTTCAATTATGCTGTATTAATGTGTTAATATTCAATCAGTTTTTAATAAATCTTAATCACGTTAATAAGTTACTAATTTGCAAAGTTAATATCGTACAGCATTATTTATCTTTCTATAGATATATGCTAAATAAAAATTAACACACAGATAGTTAACGAAATGACAAATAGTTATCGAACATATTGAATAGAAATTTAATGTTGAGACTTGTGCAATTTATTTCACGATTATTTTTCTCCGCAGAAAACTATGAATTAAAAAAAAATTTTTAAATCTTCGCTTTCTCGATGTCTGCCATATTTAAAAAATACAATCACGCGTGTTAGATTCTACAGGAAAAGTACGGTTCAAAATTTTTACATTTTAATTACAAAATCTTATATTTTTCTACATTATTTAAACTATCATGAGTATATGAACTAATTTAAAGTTCATAATCGCGCGAATTCCAATGTACTGCAACTGGGGACGATTCATAAAGTTATAGGTTATGGCGCGTACGTGCATTATGCTCAAATTCCATGCTACAACGACTGAGTCATCAGGTTTAGGCGTGCGTAATTTACGGTGTACCAAAAGGATGAAGAGAAGAGGAAAGAATGCGAACAGCCGGATGCCGTAGACCCGAGTCACATGGTCGTAAGCCGACACGTGCACCCTCTTTTCTGATACGGTCCGATGATTTTTAAGATGGGGGCGCGGTGGACTTTCTCATCGGCTAACCGACGAATCTACCGCAACGTCCAACATCGTTTCCCTCGATCTTCCTCTTTGTTTCTTCGCTAATTGTTCTTCCATGTACACTTTTTCGTTAATTGTCTCTGAAAGTTTGTTTCGTTTCGCAGAATTTTGTTAAATAGATGAAAAGGTTTAAGATAAGAGAATTTAAGATATCTTTAAAATGTTTTAATAATAATAATCGTCTTGACAATTCTTTTTATATAACATAACATAGAAAAAAAAAAATTATAACTCATATATCAATTTAAGTTTTCACAAAAAAATTGTTAAGAAATGAGAATTAAAGCTTTTATGTAATATTCAGAATTGATTCTTTGAAGACTTTTTTACTTTTTACTAATTCAAAGCCTATTTGTGAAGTACTTTAGAAATCATTTCTCATATAATCTCTTTTTTTAATTTTTGAAACATTAAATTTTCTTGAAGATTTTTAATTTAAGTTAATATTTTAATTAAAAATTTAATTTAATAATATTTTAATTAAATTATAAGGCTTATATAAGTTTTAAGTATGAAAATCATTTAAAAATGTCTATTTGAAATTATATTGATTTATCCATTCATATTTTCAATACGATAATATAAAATCAGACTTTTCACAAGTAATGGAAATAATTGAATTGCATATTGGAATCCATTTTTTCGATCTTTTTGCAGAGACTCTCCAGGAGCCACGATTCACCACTCAACCTTCCAGCAGCGGCAATATTCTTAGTGAAAATCGAACGAAATTTCTGCAGTGTCAAGCGAGGGGTAAGTAGGAAACGTAGCATGGATGTACTTGAGAAGATGCGACCCGGAAGTGATGATTTCAAATTTGTGGAGAATCTCTTCACTATAATTTTACCGCGATATTATATTTCTTCAAAGACAAATGGATTAAAAAAAAAATTTCTTTTTCTTGAAATTTTATTCCAATGTTTCCATTAAATTTCAGATTAAATTAATATAAAAATTTTTATATTGCAAAAAATAAATTTTTCATTCATATTGCAATAAATTCACTATATGCTTTATGCATATGAAAAAATAATAGATTTAATCCTATAAAAAGATTTATTTATCTATAAAAATAAGTTGCCAAATTTTCCCATGTTTTTTTTTTTTTTTTTCATGAAATATCGAATAACAGCCGGATGGAACGGTGACCATATGAAGCCTTATAGTTACAGTCTGGTGCTGTAACGTGATAATATGACCCTGTACTAATAGTATTAGGTCGTTATATTGCATATACTTCTCTCGGTCAAAAAAGAAATGCCTATAATATCTGTAAATAAAATTAACACTTTGAACTGTCGTCATTTGTGACATTTAAACTTGGAATAATCATAATTTATGACGTAAAAATATAGAAGTGGTGTGAATTGCGATAATTTGTTAAAAATTTACAAGTTTGAAATCCTCATTATGTGTTATATGTATATATGTATAATAAATTTTATATAAGATTTATCTCTAATTCGGTAAAAGAGAGATTTCAAATTTAGGATTTTAATAATTTACATTTCCGTTTTTAGGAAATCCTCAGCCAAAATACAAATGGTTCAAGGATGGTGTGCCTCTCAGCAACGAGCTTACTTCAGAGATTTATTATCGAATACAAAGTACACGTAGAGAAGACGCAGGAGTGTATCATTGTGTAGCCACAAACGATGTAGGATCTATTTTTAGTGAAAGAATTACATTTGCAGTAGCTTGTACGTATAAATTAAATATAATGATATTACGTGTAAAAAATTGATAAATATAAATTATTTCTTTGAATGAAAAATTGTAAATTTTAATTTAATCGTTTCCAAATTTTACATTGTTAGAATTGTTAGAATTCAAATGCTCTGATTATTATGGAACAACGTATTACTATGTTTCATTGCAGTAAATGCATACAGTGCAACGAAATTAATACCGTAATGTTATCTTATTCAGATATGGGGTTGTTCGAGGATCTCACAGAGAGAATAGTGAGCGTGAAATCAGGCAGCGCGGCTGTTTTAACACTGCCACCGATAGAAAGCCATCCTGCACCTGACGTTACATGGTTCACGTCCGATGGATCGTTGTTGTATGGCATAAAATATGCGTCTGTTCATCACACGTTACTTATCCTGAACGCGTCCGAGAGTGATCAAGGCTTGTACAGGTTTGTATCAAAGTAAACTGATAATCAATGAAGTTGTAAAGATAGATATAAATTTTACAAATTGAGATTCATTATGACGTATTTGAGAAAAAAATGATTGAAAATATATCTCATCGTATCATAATGCAAAATAAATTTTTCTAGATAAGTTCTTTTTTATAATATAATTATAGACAGATGTATTTGATTATTTTTCTTTCTTTTTATTTATTTATTTTTTTTTCTTAATATTGGTTTTGATCTTTCGATATCCATTTAGATTAAAATTTTAAGTTGTTTTTTTTATACTTTGTTAATTTGTTGAATTAGGGCCAGAGCTATTAACACACAATTGGGCAAAGAGGAGAATAGTCCGTTTTTTAAATTACAAATTACGGGAGATGTCAACGCCGAAGTAGCGCCAACTATCATAGTGAAACCGCAGGATACTCAAATTATCAAGGACCAAGATGTTACGTACATACATTGTATCGCTAATGCCAGGTAATTTTTTATCGAAAAAAATATATGTGAAACAAATGATACGTATTTGATAAATATATAATATTACTTTTCTATATTTTCAAAATTACATGTACATATTATTTCACATCTAAATATTTTTAATTATATATATATATTATTCATATTGTGTTCAATTTAAGAAAAAAAATAAATATAAATATAATTTATATATTGGTGTCTTTATTAATTTAAATATTTTAAAATTTATATTAATAAATAATATATATATATTTAATTATAAATTTATATAATTATTTTTTTCTTTTAAAATATAAACTATGAAATAATAATGGCAATAGAAATCTTAAAATTTCTTCATATATAAAATCTAAAGTATAAAATAGTATAAAACAGTATAAAATAACTTTTGAAAAAGATAAATTTCTATTAAAATACAAAGTAAACAAAATATATTATTTCAAATAATATATTTTAAAGATACATATTAAAAAGTTTGTTAAGAAAAAAAAAAAGAAACAGAAAAAATATTTATATTTTTCTGTTCTGAAAAAAATATCTTCACATCCTTTCCTTTCTAAAATAAATAATACATTATTAAAGTTCAATAGATTATCTTAAAATCATTCTATACGTAGAAATTACGTAGAAACATGCTTGAAGTATTATTCGGGTAATTTTAGATCTCTTCATGAATTACGAACTTTGTGGACGAAAGATGGGATCCCCATTGAGAACTCGAGGATATCATACAGTTTTAACGATTCGTGGAATAGAACTTTGGCGTTGATATCAGCAAACATAACTTACACTGGTGTGTATTCGTGTCACGTGGATTTAAGAAGTGGCGAATATCCCACGATGAATGCGAGCGCGAAAGTTGTCGTATACGGTAATTATATTGTAAAAATTCTGAAATTTGTATTTATTATTAATTAAATATATATTATAAATTTTCAGAAAAACCAATGTTTATAACGGAATTGAAACGAGAGACTCTTAGCGATTATGGATCAACTGTAACGTTACCATGTGATGTTGTCGGAGTTCCTCCTCCTAAAATCACTTGGTTCAGAAATGCAGAACCTGTAGATCATCTCCTTGGATCCAGGTATAATTTAGGAATTTTTAATCAGATAAGATAATATTGATAATAAATTATCAACAAAAATTCTAATAGATACTTTCTATATAAATTATTTTAATTAAACTCCATTGTTTATCATTTTATATTTTAATTGAAATCACTAAATTCTAAAAATACTTCTTTCAATCTCTCATTTTTTTGTCTTCTATTATTATACAAAAAAATATATTTATTTACAGATATGCAATGGAAGAAGATGGGTCTTTGACAATTAAAAAATTAACTATGAGTGATTCAGGGATGTTCCAGTGTCTTGCTTCTAATGAAGCTGGTGAAGCATCTAGTTATACTTGGTTAAAAGCAAAAAGTTAGTACATAAATAATGAAATTACATATAATCATATAATATATTATAATTATTTTTCTTTTTTATTTTGTTAGTCAAACAATGTTTGTTTATATTTATTATAAATGACGTGTTTTTTATGGGGCAGAAGGATTAGAAAGCAGACTGAAAAACAGAGTTATCCGCTGGGCAGCTGGCTACAATGTAGTCAGAGTTCGCCAATCTGATCGCCGTTTTAAGTTCTCTCAATATCCAGACAGTAAGATTCTAATAACAAGTCGCCATGAAATCCACTTCCTTTTGAAATTATCCCGGGCACATGCTTGAAGAATGCATATCACATCACAATATTTGCTTTTATCAGCTGTTAGCCGTGTTTTTTTTTTCTAGTAGTTATAGTTTGCAAATATATTTGCAAAGCACGATAGTTTCTTTGTGTGTAAAACGCGTTATTTTTTGAAAAATTATAGAAAATATACAATATATTGAACAAAAAACAAGTATAATATGTTTAGTTGTAATTAATATTAGAAAAACAAAAAACATTTTTCTTAATACTAATTATATTTCTAAAGTATTATATTATGATATATATTCCTTATTATTTAAAATGAAATCAATATGATTTTTTTGCTATCTATAATTTAGATAAATTATTTTAATTAATTTTAATCTTTGCACTTATTTCTGCCATAATGAGGAAATATCAATATATATCATAAATAACAAATTCTAGATTAGGAAAGTATTTCTAAGACAAAGATTTTAAAAATTAGTTATATTTGTAGTTGTACTGCAAAATATAATTTTTTAATTTTTATGTAAGTAATTTAATTTTTAATGAAAATAAATATTTCAGTAATACAATATTATTATTAATTGAAATTAGGTATGGGTAAATTCAGTGTTTTTCATCATATATGAATTAATGATATTCCATATTAAATTATTTTTTATTTTTTAATTTATTGTTATTATTATTTATAAAGTGTTTAATAATGAATGATATATTGAAAAACACTGAAACGGGAAAAGTTTATTTTTTATGATCGATTGTTTCTGCCTTTTTTTTGTGCATGTAATTTTTAATATTTACAAACAAAATATTAATATATTTAAATTATTGTTTTCAGCATCTGGACCAATCATGGAAAATGGTCCTCAAAATCAAACTATATTAGATGGAAAAGATGCAACTTTAACATGTAATGCTGTAGCAGCTCCAATACCTAACACTACATGGATTTATAATGGTAAATCATTATTAAATTAATTAATAATAATTTATAATACAAATATATTATATGAAAATCGATAAATTATTTTAATTCATTAATAGATACGATGACCGTGGAAATCGCTGGAAGAGTACAGGTTTTAGATAATGGAGATCTTTTGATTGCTGCTGTAAAACCAAATGATGCCGGAAAATATACTTGTATTCGTGCGAACGAAGCTGGTTCTGTAAATGGTTCAGCATATCTTAGTGTTTTAGGTAAAATATGCTTTATAAATATTAGAATAAAAAAAAATATTATATATATATATATATTTCTTAGATTATTATATAATATATATATATATATTAAATATTATTTTCCTTTTGGTATAAAAATTTAATCGATTTTAGTTCGAACACAAATTATTCAACCACCTGTTGATACGTCCGTTCTTCTCGGTTATACTGCAGAATTACAATGTAAAGTCTCCAATGATCCAAGTGTTTTATATGATATAGCATGGTTTCACAATTCACAGTATGTATCATTATATTAATATTTTTTAAATTATTTTTTATAAATATAATTTTTTTAAAAGTTTATGATCAAGATTGTATTTCAATATTGTAATAATAGAAAGAAAAATAAAAAAAAAGAAAAATAATAAGAATTTTATATTTTATTATTGTTTTTCTTTCTTATCTAATTTGCTAATTTGATTAATAAAATTATTTCTTTTTTCTTTTAATTCTATTATGTCTATATTAGATGTATTATCAATCATTTCATTGCCAATCATTTTTTTTATTGTTTTCGTAGAGTAATAAATACACAAGCTAGTCAAAGAGTAAAGATGCGAAACGATGGTACATTGGAAATAGCAGCTGTACGTGCTTCTGATGTGGGTGAATACATGTGTTCTGTAGTTTCACCAGGAGGAAATGAAACTCGATCCGCTCGTCTTAGTGTAATCGAATTACCATTTGCACCAATAAACGTAATGGCTAATCGAGTTGAGCGGATTTCTCCTCGCACTATAAATGTTAGTTGGGTTCCAGGATTTGACGGAAATAGTCCAACAAAAAAGTTTATCGTTCAAAGACGGGAGGTTTCTGATCTTGGACCCATACCTGATTCCGCATTAAATTGGATTATCGAGTGCAATAATGTTTCAGCCCAAAGTCGTTGGGTAATATTGAACAATTTAAAAGCTGCTGCAGCATATCAGTTTCGAGTGACTGCAGAAAATAGCGTTGGTGAAGGACCTCCATCAGATCCCAGTAATGTAGTAGTCCTTCCTCAAGAACCTCCAAGTGGACCACCAGTAGGATTCGTTGGTTCTGCTCGATCATCTTCAGAAATAATTACACAATGGCAACTTCCATTAGAAGAATATCGAAATGGCCATATCTTAGGATATGTTTTAAGATATAGATTATATGGTTATAACGACAATCCTTGGACCATACAAAATATTACTAACGAAGCACAAAAAAATTATCTTATTACTGATCTAATTACATGGAAAGATTATATTGTCCAGATAGCAGCTTATAATGATAAAGGAGTTGGAATATTTACCGAAGGATTGAAGATTAAAACTAAGGAAGGAATACCAGAAGCTCCACCGACTAATGTAAAAGCAAAAGCCATGAATTCAACAGCAATAAAAGTCTGGTGGAAGCCCCCGAATCCACAAAAGATTAACGGAATAAATCAAGGCTATAAATTACAAGCTTGGATTGGTAATAATTTTACTGAAGCGAATGAATATAAATCGATGACTGTACCACCCAGTTTATTTGATCCTCTTGCCGAACAAAGTGCTATTATGACTGGTTTAAAAAAATATACTTTATACAATATAACTGTATTATGCTTCACTGATCCAGGTGACGGTGAAAAAAGTTCTCCCGTTCAAATCCGTACACGCGAAGATGTACCTGAAGAAGTAGAAAATTTACAATTCGAGAATATAAGTGATCGTTCGCTTACCGTTAAGTGGAATCCTCCTCAAGAGATTAATGGAATACTTATATTCTATCAATTAAAATATATGATCAAAGATATGCCGGATTCTCTACGAATAGAAAACTTCACATCGGATGTTCTATCAGCTAAAATTGAACATTTACAAGCAATGACACATTATAGATTTGAAGTTGTTGCATGGACATCAATAGGACCTGGAAAACCGGCAGTAGCTGTCATTCAATCAGGTGTTGAGCCCGTTCTTCCTGAACCTCCAACTAAATTGGCATTGTCTAATATTGACGCATTTTCTGTCGTTCTTCAATTTACACCAGGATTCGATGGTAATTCGTCCATAATAAAATGGACAGTACAAGCACAAACCACTCGAAATACAACATGGTATAATATATATGAAGTCTCAGATCCTGATGCTAGTACAATTACTGTAGGTAGCCTAATTCCATTTATGCAGTATAAACTACGATTAATTGCTAATAATGTAGTTGGTGCTTCTCAACCATCCGAACCAACGAAAGAATTTCAAACAATTCAAGCACCACCATCGCATCCTCCTCGAAATGTTACAGTTCGTGCAATGAGTGCTACAGAATTGCGTGTTAGATGGATTCCATTACAGCAAATTGAATGGTATGGAAATCCAAGAGGATATAATGTTACCTATACTGAAGTTCGGACAAAAAAATCAAAAAGCATAACTATAGAAGATCATACAGCAAATTCCTATATCTTAGAAAATATGGAAGAATACGCTCTTTATGAAGTTGTAATGCAAGCATTTAATGATGTTGGATCATCAATGATAAGTCCAAAAGCTATTGAAAGAACTCGTGAATCAGTTCCTTCAATGGGACCTATTAATGTAGAAGCTAATTCAACATCTTCCACTACTATATTAGTTAGATGGGGCGATGTTCCTATAGAACATCAAAATGGACAAATAGAAGGATTTAAAGTTTATTATGGGTCAAATGCTAGATCAGCATTCCAGTATAAAAACATTCCTAGTAATACAACATTTACAACAACTTTAACAGAACTTCGAAAATTTGTTCAATATCATATACAAGTTTTAGCTTATACAAGACTTGGTGATGGTACTTTAAGTACTCCGCCAGTTAGAGTACAAACATTTGAAGATGCTCCTGGACCTCCTTCAAATGTGTCATTTCCTGATGTAAGCTTTACTACTGCTCGCATTATTTGGGATACTCCAGAAGATCCAAATGGAGAGATTCTTGCCTATAAAGTCATGTTTCATTTAAATAATAGTCAAGATCATCAATTTTCAAAAGAGTTTCCTGCATCAGATAGAACTTTTAGAGCAACTGGGCTAGAACCAGAAAAATATTATATGTTCTCAGTAACAGCACAAACAAGATTAGGTTGGGGAAAAACAGCATATGCTCTTGTTTTCACTACAAATAATAGAGAACGCCCACAAGCACCATCAATGCCACAAATTAGTCGATCACAAATACAAAGTAGACAGATAACATTTACTTGGACACCAGGTCGTGATGGATTTGCTCCATTAAGATATTATACAGTACAACAATCAGAAAATTCAGGACCATTTCAAATTATTCCTGAAAGAGTAGAACCAACTTTAACTTCGTATACAGCAAATAATTTGAAACCTTTCACTTTTTATCAATTCCGAATACAAGCAACTAATGATATAGGTCCTTCAACTTGGAGTACAGAATCTGTTCAAGTTCAAACTCTACCAGCAGGTAAATTAAACTTTGCTTCTTTATTTTTTATATGAAATTTATTTAATTAAAATATAAGATATTATAATATGAATTTGTAGCACCTTCTCGAGGAGTTATTGGGTTGAAAGTTGTTCCAATAACAACATCTAGCATAGAAGTTCATTGGAATGCAATAGATGAAACATATTGGAGTGGAGATCACGAAACAGGTGGTTATCGCGTTATTTACCAACCAGTTTCTGATTTTCCAACAGCCCTTCAAGATACACCTAAAGAAGAAGTTTTAGGAATAAAAGTAATAAATATATAAAAGTATAAATTGTAAAAATTAACTTTAAATGACTTATTAATTTTTTTTATTTTATATTTAATTCTATAGGCTACAAAGATTGTTTTAAGTGATTTAACAGAAGATAGATATTATGAAGTAATAGTTTTACCATTCAATTCTGAAGGAGAAGGTCCACCAAGTCCTCCAGTGACTGTATATGTAGGAGAAGCAGTTCCCACAGGAGAGCCACAGTATCTAAAAGCAGAACCAATTTCTTCTACAGAAGTACATTTACGTTGGAAACCACCTCAAGCCAATATGCAAAATGGAGATTTATTAGGATATAAAGTAAAATTCATTATTTTTTATTATATATAGATTTTATTATTTTAACAAAATTTTTTAATTAAAAGTTATTATTTATATTTATATATTTATTATATATTTTTTATTTTAGATTTTTTACTTAGTTACTGATTCTCCACAAGATTTAGAGAATAAACAAGAAGAAGAAATAGAAGTTGTACCAGCATCATATTTAACACATAGCTTAGTATTTTTAGATAAATATACAGAATATCGTATTCAAGTATTGGCTTTCAATCCTGCTGGTGATGGTCCTCGAACTCCATCTATTACTGTGAGAACTAAGCAGGTATATCATTCAAAATTTGAAATCTAATAATAATTAAATTGAAATCGTAATTAATTTATTTTATAAAAATATATTTAATTATTATAACATTAAATATTATTTGCAGGATATACCTGGACCACCACACAATTTACAATTCTCAGAAATTACAATGACTAGTCTTCGTGTTTCTTGGGAAGCACCAAAATTACGAAATGGTGAAATAGTTGGCTATATTGTTACATATGAAACAGCAGAACAAAATGATCGTACGTTTTTAAATATATATGTCAATTATTTGAGAAATTTAATTATAAATAATTGTTCATATAAAATATAATGTTTTAAATTATTGCAGGTTTTAGTAAGCAAGTTAAACAAAAAGTAACAGAAACAAGTTTACTAATTCAACCTTTAGAAGAAGAAGAAACGTATACCTTTATGGTTCGGGCGCAAACCATTGATTTTGGTCCACCTATATCCGGAAATGTCACGACAGGTCCACAAGAAGGCTCACCTATGGCACCTAGCAATCTTGTTGTTACAAAGACAGTGTCTAGTGTTGAATTACAATGGACTAATGGAGCTTCCGGAAAAGGACCTATATTAGGATATTATGTTGAAACACGACGAAAAGGTAAATAATATAAAATCTTTTAATATTTAAAATCCTTTAAAAACTAAAATAATTATTACAGAATTAATTTAAAAAATTAAGAAATATATACATATATTTATATAAAATATGAAAAATAAAAATGAAGAATAGAATTTCTTTGATTATTTTGATTTTATATACATTTGATTTTATATACATATTTATAATATAAGATTCTAAATGATATTATTTAAATTACTAATATTGCCTTTTTTATAATCATATAGCAATGGAAGAGTGGCAGCATTGTAAGTGTCAATGCACGTAAATATATTGAACGTCGATTATTGTTAGATGATCTCAACAATTAAATATAATTTTTGTTAGTGTTAAAACATAGCATTCTGTTTGTAATTAATCTGTGATTTGTTTAGTGACATTTGTACTGTTGATTGCATGATGATGTCATAGCATGACATTTTCCATGAATTCAATTAGAAATTCATTAAACATTTTAACTTTGAATGCTGCTATAATTATATTGTAATAAATAAATAGTTGAAATTTGACATGTTAGATAATGATATTCCTATAATTTTAATTTTCCAATTCCTATATTTAATTATATTTCATTAATGTCCTTTAAATATGTAATATAGATTACAATATAACTTCGCAAGTTTTCAATTATAATTAATTTTTGAAATGTTAAAATAATCAAATATATTATTTTTTTCTTGTAATATATTATAGGAAAGTATACAATGTAATATATAATTTCAAGAAAACATGCAGAAGTTTTTGATTATATTTATGATTTCATTACATTGAAACTAAATAAATATTATTGCATTTATAATTATAGATGACAGTCGTTGGCAGACAATAGTACGTAGTAGTAATGGACCATTGACAGAATTTTCTGTATCTTATCAAAATTTACTTCCATCCACGTCATATTTATTCAGGATAATATCATATAATCGTTATGGAATTAGCTATCCTGCATATTCTACAGAAACGGTAAATATTATTGTTACATTATATACATTTTTTATGAATATTTTTATGCATTAAATATTATAATATATCTTTTTTAGATTTTAACTCCATCAAAGTTATATTTTGAATATGCATATTTACAACATAAACCATTTTACAGACAAACTTGGTTTATGGTTACTTTAGCTGCTGCATCAATTATAATCATTATAATGGTCATAGCAGTGCTATGTGTAAAAAGTAAAAGCTATAAATATAAACGTAAGTCATAATAAATATATTCTAATGTAAAGCATATAGATTAATGATAATAAAATAATTGTCTTAGAAGAAGCACAAAAGACACTTGAAGAATCTATGGCTATGGATACAGATGATAGACAAGAATCTGATTTAGAGCTTTATAGATCAAGACAAGGAGGTGGTGGTACTATGAATATAGCAAATGCTTGCGGTACATTAGGTAAAAGAAACACTTTAGCAAGAAAATCTATGCATCCACCTCCTCCTACGATGTTAGGTAAATCACCTCCTAGACCTTCACCAGCCTCAGTTGCTTATCATAGTGATGAAGAAAGTTTAAAAGGATATGATGAAAATCCTGATGATAGTAGTGTTACAGAAAAGCCTTCTGAAATTAGTTCAACAGATTCTCAGGTAATCTTTTATATGAAAAAAGATCTTTTTCTTAAATATATGAAAAATAATAATAGGATATATAGAATATAATTTTGTTTCATAGGGATCTGAAAGTGAAAATGAAAGTGTACAATCGGATCCACATTCTTTCGTAAATCATTATGCTAATGTTAATGATTCATTAAGACAGTCTTGGAAGCGTCAAAAACCAGTTAGAAATTATTCATCGTATACTGATTCTGAACCAGAAGGTAGTGCTGTTGTGAGTTTAAATGGAGGACAAATTATTATGAACAATATGGCAAGGTCAAGAGCACCATTGCCTGGTTTCTCATCATTCGTATAATTCGTACATAATAAAAAATTGAAGTCTTTTTAAGTAGATAAGGTGCCGAATTACAATCAATTGCCTAATATTTATAATTGTTATACAGTAAAATTAAAATAAATTTATGCTGAGCAATAATTAATTTGAAAACATTTGGATAAAAAAAATTATTTAAATTTAAAAGAAAAATTAAAAAATTATTATATATATATAAAATGAGACTGGTTGTTAAAATTTTTATAATTTTTATAAAATAGGATAGTTAAAATTTTAATAGCTCAGCATCGAAATTAAAATACACAGAGGATTAAAGACTTATGTTGAAACACAAACTCGAGTGTTTCACACATGCTACGTGTAGTAATTTTAATATGCTTCTGGCACCATCATATTGTGATATATTAAAATACATATTATTTATAATTTTAGATAAAGTCAGAATATATGTATAATGAATATTTTTTATTTTTATTAAGTGAAGTTAAAACAAATTATTGCATGGATCTCGAATAATATAATGCTTATGCATTCTTTTAATTATAAGAAAAGATAAATTGTTTAAAACCATCTGTCAATATAATATATTAATAATGTAATAGAATAACATTAGATTATGAAACAATATCGTAACGAAAACTGCCAGAAACAATTACTTAATAAATCCAGAAAACGAAATATTTTAATACTATATTATTAAAACGTTTAAAACAACATCAATTATAAACTTTTTTTCATGTGAATAAATTCTTTCAATATTTCTAATTAACATTTATACTACAAATGAAAGTTGTACAATATCATCGATTTATATAAATATATAAAAAGTTAATTAAAACCATCATATCAGAAATAATCTTCACAGATTAAAAATAAATCTGATAATATTATTATACTGATTAAATAGTAAACAAATAATTACTTATGTAAAATATGACTGCGTACATTTCTATGTCTAAAAGACTTTCTTTTTAATAACATTATGTATAATGTATATAAAATTTATATAAATTATAAAATACTGATAAAAACTCTTGTATATTTAGTGCACAATTTATGTAACATTAGATCAAATTTTATGCTGAATAATTTTTGACAATTTTTTTCTTTAATAGATAATTCATCATTTATTTTTTATCTTTTTAAATTATAAAATCAAGGAAAAAAAATGTAGCTTTAATGCATTTACATTTGCATACAAAAAATATATGCAATCTATTTAATTCATCATAATATCATTAATTCATTTGTAGTATATAATATCACATTTACAGTATTGTGAACATTAGCATAGTATACAAACTTATTCAATTTAGAACAGAATTTTTTTACTATAATTATTCTATGTAATTATTATTTTAAATACAAAAAACATTTTAAATTGATATTAATGCATGAAATTTTTTTTTAAATGAAATGTTTTTTGTTCTTTTTAATTACTTACTTTATAATAAAAAAAAAGATTATAGAAATAATATAAAATGTTAAAAAATTATAAAATATATAGACAAATTTTTAAAAATATCTTTGATATATTAAATATTTTATTGTGTTAAAAATCTAGGATTTTATCAAAAATAAAAAAAAATGACAAATAAATGAAAATTATTGAATAAATAATGGCAGCTATAATTCTATTATTTAAAAAAAAAATATTAACTATAATTAATTGATAAATTAAGATTGATAAATTATATTAATTAAATTATTAATTATTGAATTTTTAATTTGATTTTAATTATAATATTAATTGCAACCTAAAAATCATAATTAATATGTGTCATAAAGTAGATAGCAAGTTATTTAGTAAATATTTTGTCTTAAATGCAGTCATCTTTTTATTTTTTATTATATTTTTTTTTTTATTTTTTTAAAAAATTTGCTTTCTAATTTTGTTGTATATAGTATTATAGTATTAATTTTATTTTTTATTTGTTAATATCAATCATCAATTATTATCATTTTGTCATAAGTATTTTTTACCAGAAATAAAAATACAATTGTTTCTGAAATACTGCCAAATTCAAAGATACAATTTTTCTTATTCACATTTGTACATATTAATGACAAATTAATAACAAATTATTATATATATTAAATATATATATATATATATCTAATAAATATAAATATATATATATTAATATCATGTTTGAAATTATACATTACTTGTATATAATTTTATATAATTTTATTTAATTACATATAATTTTATTGACAATATTTCCTCATAATTTTATTTAGTAAATTTTAAAATATTTTTAAAACAATTGATATTGTGTTTATATAAATAAATAGTACTTATTTTATTAAGAGATTTTTATTTACATAAAAATTTTTTCACAAGCTTCAAACCATTCATTAAGTTTTGGCGGATATTTGTTTGGAAAAATTTGTTTAATTGTAGACCATGCAGCAATATCTGCTATATCAAGTTTTTTTTTATTTAACCAATTTATATTTAACTTATCTGCTATTAGTGACAATATTTCTTGTTTTTTCTTCAATGATTCTTCAAAATATAAAGAATGACACAAATCTAATATTAAATCAGTAGTATTTAATTTCTCTACACAATCAGAGTTTTCATAATTGTGTGAATTTATTAGTCTACTTATATATCTTAGAAAATTTGTTTCACCAGTTATATAATAACTATGTAGACCAGATACAAGTTGCAGCTCTTCAACTGAAAATAAAATCTTTTATAAATATATATTTTTATTTTAATTATTAAATATAAAAATACAAATTATTTTACCATCTTTCCAAATTAATGATAAATTAATAATATTATTCTTAGGAGAGTTTGTAATTGATTGATAAATAAAAGATCCTTCTTTATTAAGACTTGAATGAACATAAGTTTGTACTTTAATATCAGTGTCTTCCCATAAATTTTGTAATGCAGATATAAAGTATGGTGGCCTTTTAGGATTTACATTAATGATAAGATTTACATTAACTGTCTTCTATAAAAATTAATATTAATAAATTATTTTTTTTGCGCTTTTGATTTTGAGAATAAAAATTTTTATTTTATATTAATTTATTTCATATTACCTGATTTGTGACACTTTTATTGATTACTTGATTTGTCTGTTTTAAAAATCCAGAAAGTGTTGAAACTTGTTTCTTAAGTTCTGCAAGTTGTGCTAATATTTTTTCTTGTCGTGCTTCTAATGCATTATATTCTGGTAGTGGACTCTGAAATAAAATGTTATTCTAAGTATATATAATATTTTACATAAAACATTAATAATTATGAAAATATAAATCTTAATAAAAACATTAGATAAAATTAATTAATTAGGTAATTTTAGAATAAAATTAGAATTATTTAATATTAATATATAAAATTTAAAATTAAAAAACATATATATTATAATTAATTATAATTAAAATGAAATTTTTCTATTTCTAAAATATTACTAAAGAAATAAATATCTTTATATAAAATATTATTATATAAATACATTATAATTACTATTCGATCACAATCTAAAGTTTACAATTTAATATAATACTTATGAAAACATATTTTTTCATAAAATATATTATAAATATTATTTCAAGTTGAAAAATGTTAATAAAATTCAATATAAAATGGACATATTTATTAATTTCATGTCAGAAGAAAATGTCCAAAAACACAGGGTTATGAATTATAGATTTGATAGTTCACCAGTAACATTGTTGATTAATACTAGTGAACAGCTATAAGATACATACATCTTTTTACTGGGTTAGGTTTTACATGTATTTGGTTATACAACTGTACTTTGTAGCTTTCAGTTTCAGTGCAGTTCTAATTTAGTAAGCTTGCCCTTCTATACTAATTATCGGCGTATTCCCGCTTATCCTTCGAACGAACTAAATTTTTCATATACCGTAGTCGCGTAGTGTCCTGTTAGATGAAAAATTGGAGGGGCAAGCATCGATCAAGCCTGTAGAACCATATTCCCGGTCGATCGTGATTAGTGCTTGTGGAAATTTTGGGAGGAGTCATGCACAACAAGCTCGAGACAGAAGAAACACTCGTAGCTACCATGCTTACTAAACGCGTGAGTAAACCGTTCATTCTAGTTAACTAGCAATGTTTTCTTTCACATCGGCAGGATAACAGAAATGATGAAAACCTTTAAAAAGCTGATAACCTGCTCAGTGATATCAGGCACGATCTTGTTCTCGGCTTCCGTATGGTCGTCTGTTGATTCTTCATGAATATTTCGCATTTCGTACATCATTTTTCTATGATGCAATATTCGTGGCAGGGAAACAATTGGTTTTAACGTATACATTGTCATTTCGTTACGCATTTTGTTCGTTATTCCGTGATTAATTTATAAAAAACCATCGACTTATATTCACATTCGATCGTTACACTCTCGTTCGTTTTTCGTATTTCTCGATTTTAACTTGACGGCCATTTTTCTTTGATCCCCCCTATCTTTGTCGTACTTTCATGCTGGCGCTAATGTTTTCCAACTGCTAACATCCGTTTCAAAGATGGCGCCATAATTTTTGGTAAAATTACATCATACAAGAATTTTACGTTGTTGTTATTAGTATATTTTATATATTTTTTTACGTGTTAAGCTTTGAAAAATTAATTTATTTTAATAATAATAATTATAATAATTAATTATAATTAAATTATTTTCTCATTTGTATAGAAAACAATTTTGGAATATGTTATACTAGTATAATATATAAAATAATTGAATAGTTTATTATTTATAAATTATTGATAAAATTTTAAATTTATTATTTCAGTATTTAAACAAATGTTTAACAAACAAATAATTGATCATAATATTGCTATATTTGTTTGATTAGCAACTTCCATTAACTTTTTCTGATTATTGAATGCAACAGAAAACATAATTTAATATATAAAATTTTTGATGTAGTGAAATATAAAATATATAAGAAAGAAGTGCTGTTAATAAATATATAATGAAATATAAAAAAAAATTGTATAAGATCTATTAAAAATTAAAACTTAACAAAACCTTAGTTTCAATTAAGAAGATGTCGCGTTCATCGCTAATTTCTTTTAAATTAATTGATATTTATTATTAATTAAATTATATAATAAACATAAACAAAATTTTTTTCTTTTATATTGATAACATTAATTTTTAATTAGTATGATATTATAAGCTAAAAAAAAAAAAGGATATACCGACTAAACGACATATAAATTAGAATTATGGTGGTGTCCTCTGTCGCAGCTTCTTTATAACTAAGGATAGATCTCTTGCGGGTAACAGCGAACTCGTTCGATTACACATGTGAATTAATTACATAATTTGTTTGAAATAAAAAATATAATTGATCAAAATAAAAATAACTGTAAAAAAAAAAGGGAAGTAAATAAAGAAAAGAAAGCATGTTTATCGGAAGTGCGGTTAGAATCGCGTTCTTCCAACCGCGCATGTCGCCACCTATTGTTGATCTGACAGGCTCTTGTGTAGTTACGGTGAAAGCGATTGGATCTTCTGTACGTTTCGTGAGAAATTAAAAAGCGATCAATTTGTTTTTGCATTACATGAATTCCATTGAAATTCAGTCAAGAAGAATGTGTCGAGCTATAGATTGTTCTAAATAGGAAAAACGAAAATTTCATCAAAGATTTTGTCTACTTTTCGAGTAGATGCGTTCGAGGCCAGACATGGCGGCGATTCGATGAACCAATTGCAGCAGCGCTCTCTTAGAGGATCAGATATTGTAAATTCCCCTTACATTCGCATCAGTGAATGATTCTGTACTTATTTTGGTCGTTACTGATAGTAATACAAGTTCTTATCATTACGAAAAGGTGATTGTCGTTCGCCGACAGAAAAGTAGAAGCCACGCAAGATCGTACCGAAACGTTGATCATGAAAGAATTGTGTTTGGTCACGTGACCATAGCCGAAAAATGGCGCAAAGATCAGAGTACAAACATGGGTTCCATTTCATTGCTACGGTGTCATTTGTATTTGTTTACAAGCGCGCGTTTTCACAAACCACGTGTTAAGTAAGTGCCATTTCGTTGACAGTGCGTGACGGACAATGACGGGGAGAGGATCGAAGAGACGGGGTCGACCCCCGAAATCGGTGGTCATGGAAAGACCAAAAAAGTTTCAATATCATCTTATGAAGAAACCAAAATATTTGCAAAACAAGGGTTCGGAAACGCCAAATTCACAACCAAGTACACCGACACCTTCGAGACCATCATCGCCAGTCGAAAGCGAAGAAAGCAGACGAAGTACACGAATTCGAAAATCTCGAGGACCCAGAGACAGACATTCGCGCAAAGGTGGTCATTCTAGTTCAGGTGCATATCAACGCCGAGGTTACAATCCAAATGTTGATTATCATGATTCTGAATATCATTATGGGTCGGACTTTGGAGATGAATCTAGTGAAAAAAGTGAAGTTGAAGAGGATCTCTTGCAAAGCGATGTAGATTCATCTGAAAGTATAGAAGAACCTGATCCTTCCAGTGACAGTGATTTTTCCCTCTCCAGTTATAGCACTACTAGTGGCACACCCCGTAAAACACTTCTTAGTCAGCAAAGACCACCAAGTCCAGAACCATTATGGCTTCAAAATAGAGAATTGCCACTATTAAATCTACCTAAATCGTCTGATGATTTATTAGTTCCCAGAGAACTTGTTATGCCATGTTTATCCATTTATGAAGTATTGAGACACTTTCGCACTTTAGTACGTCTTTCAGCCTTCAGATTTGAAGATTTCTGTGCTGCACTTATGTGTGAAGATCAAACCAATTTGTTGGCTGAAATACATATTATGCTTATTAAAGCACTTCTTAGAGAAGAAGATTCTCAACAAACACATTTTGGTCCTTTAGACCAAAAAGACTCTGTGAATGTTAGCTTATATTTTGTGGATTCTATGACTTGGTCAGAAGCTTTACGTTCTTATGTAGAAAGTGACAAGTCATTTGATCAAAATATTTTACATATTTTATCAACATGTGAATATCCTTTTACTTCTGTAGAAGATAGAATCAAGGTGCTACAATTTTTGACAGATCAATTTTTAATTACAAATCCAGTAAGAGAAGACCTATTGCACGAAGGTATATTAAATGGTATTTCATGTTGTTTTATTTTTTATAGTTATTTTTTTATATAATTTATATGTAATGTAATAATTTATAAATATATATATAATCAGCAGGAAAAATTTATATGTCCATGCTGAAGTTTTAGTTATATTGTTTTATATATATATATAAATACTAAAATATTTTTTAATATAAATACATATCATTAAATATGTATTAAATTATTTATATATCATTAATTTATATTATATTAAATAATTCTGTTTATTTTAATTTATTAAATTATAAAACTCCTTATTTTTTTATTATTTTTTTCATGTAATTAATTATAAAAAATTAAATATAATTATGTAAAATATACATTCTTTTATAAATATTATCAAATCATTATCATTATTAAAGAATAATATATATCATGAATATTGTCATTTTATAGGAAATATGCATTATGATGATCACTGTAGAGTATGTCATCGATTGGGAGATTTATTATGTTGTGAAACATGTCCAGCAGTTTTTCATTTAGAATGTGTTGAACCTCCATTAGTTGATGTTCCTACTGAAGACTGGCAATGCAGTACATGCAAAGCTCACAAAGTTACAGGAGTTGCTGATTGTATACCTGATGTTGAGAAAAATGGTTCTCTTTGTCGTCAAGAACATTTAGGATTTGATAGACATGGCAGAAAATATTGGTTTCTTGCAAGAAGAATTTTTGTGTAAATATCCTATAATAAAATAAAATTTTTTTATAATATTTATCATTAATTATTAAAAAAATATTGTTAATTGTTAAAATTATTTATTATAGTGAAAGTGAAGATGGTGAAGTTTGGTATTATAGTACAGCTTTACAATTAGAAGAGTTAATGCTTTGTTTAGATCGTAATGAAATGGAAGTTGCACTTTATCGAGAATTATCAGACTACAAAGATGAAATTGTAAGACAAATGGAACTTACAGAACAAATTACTAATCAATACAAGGGTAATAAAAAGTCATATCTAGAAATTGAAAACAGTAAGTTTAATTTAATAATTTATTTTTTTATTTCATTTTTTTTATTTATGATTTAAATTTATAGTTTAAATAATAATTTTAATATTCTTATTTAATATTTCACGTTTTATAGGTCTTATACAAAAATTACAAAAAGAACGTCAAGAAAAACAAGAAAAAGAAGAAGAAGAAAAAAAAGAAAAACAAAGACAAGAAGCTGAAGAAATGGTACGCAGAATACATGAAGGTACAGATTCTCTTGAAGAACAATTATCAGCAGTCACTGAACAACAGGAAATAAAGACATCTGAAGATTCAAATACGAAAGAAAATACTCAAAAAATAATTCCAGAAAATGTAGAAATAGATAGTGTAGATACTAATTTAACAGATGGGATAAATAAAGAAGTCAAAGCTTGTACATCATCATCATCATCTGAAGAAATTGATGAAGAGATACTTGAAGGGGACGAAAGTATCTCAAAAATTGGTAAAGATGGTGAGTTATAAAACTATATATTTTAAAGAGATACAGTAATTAATAAATCTATTATTTTAGGGAAAAAACACACTATTGTAACTAGATCAAAAACAGGATCATTACAACCTAGGACATTTAATATGGATGATTTAAAAAAACGTAGTACTGGACAGCTCTCAAAAGAAGAGTTAGAAAAATTAGATAAAGGTTTAAAAGAAGAAGGAGATAGTACTAGATTAACAAGACAAAAAGCTCATCAAATAGCTTCTGGTACGCATTTATTTAAATTGGGAATGGATAACAACTTTAAATCATATGTGAATCAGTACAGTACTAATCCTATTGCTTTGAATAAGGCCCAACGAAACGAAGAACGTGACAAAAAGAGACATTTATCACATAAATTTTCACTTACACAGGCTTCTGAATTTAAATGGGTAGGAAGTTTGACAGGAACTCGTGCTCTTTTAGTAAGCACACTTCGTCAGACAATTCTTCAACTCGAAAGCAGCATTCAATCTTCATTTATGCATACTAATTGGCCTCTTTTACGTAAACCTTGGACTACAGCAGTAGGTGCTTGTGTTAATCCAAGAGATTTTGCTCGTGCACTTATTGTATTACAAGCATGTATTAAATCAGTAGTATTCGCTAGTGTATGGCATGATCAACTTGGTCATGTAAAATTACAAAGAGTAACGGCTCTCGAACGAGAAGAAAAGAAACGTCAAGATAAAAAAGATAAAAAGGAAAGAGAAGATGAAGAAGAACGTAATCGTCTATTTAATTTTGTTAAATATACATTAGGCTTGAAACATCAAGTTTGGAAACAAAAGGGAGAAGAATATCGAGTACATGGACAAGGTGGTTGGCTTTGGGTATCTGCCAGTCGCCGCTATAGATATTCTGACATGTCAAAATTAGGTCTTCGAATAGGCCCACAAAAAATT